CGGGATCCACTCGCGGGTGCGGAGCAGTTATGTCGCACCGGAGGCCAAGCCCGGGTTTGTGGGGCTCGCGGCGCTGACCTACGCCGTGCCGACGGCGCAGCTGCGGGTTCCGGAAGACAAGGACTACAAGTTCCCCGTCAGCGTGGCGAGCGGCAATGGGGTGTTTGTGCTGGCGCCACAGGGGCGGGACGGCGGGGAGATGCTGGCGGGGACGCAGGTGCCGTTTGACGCGGAGAAGGCGAGTCTGCCGCGGGAGGCGCTGATGGCGGATAAGGATGCGCTCAAGGCGAGACTGAGATTGAATGAGGAGGCGTGGCCGGGCTTGGTGCGGTCTGCGCTCGAGGGGATCCGGGACGAGACGATGAATGTGTGGCCGTTTTTCATGTTGCCTGCGCTGGAGAGGTGGGCCTCGCAGGGTGGTGCGGGGCGGGTTTTGGTGTTGGGGGATGCGGCGCATGCGATTCCGCCGACGACGGGGCAGGGGGCTTCGATGGCGTTGGAGGATGCTGCTTCGCTTGCGCTGGTGGTGAAGAGGGTGAGGGAGAGTTCGGGGAAGATTGGGTGGGAGGAGGGTGTTGGGTTCTGGCAGGGGATTCGGAGGGAGAGGTTGGGGAGGTTGGTTGGGTTGACCAAGATGTTGAATAATAAGAGGCTTCCGAGCGATGAGATGGCCAAGTTGCCGCGGGAGGAGGTTTGGTATGAGGAGGGCCAAGGGCAGATGAAGTGGTTGTATGTGCCTGAGATTGAGAAGCAGGTTGAGGAGTGGGTGAAGGGCAAGCTGCAATGAATTGTAGGCTTTGAGTTATGAGTTGTGTGGTATCTTGGAAAAAAACAAATAGACTGTTAAAGTACAAGTCAACTCGGAGTTGATAATGTTTGATTCTCTTTGAACAGTACTGACCCTGGGATTTGCAAGGCTACCTATGCTCATTCAAAAGTCGTATTATGTAATTTGTTCCAGCATTTTGACAGACAGCCTACGGTAGTTGCTCAAGCTCATGAGACCTGTCTCTTCACAAGTTCACGAGGTATCAGAAGCGAAATCAGACAGTCTGAATCACCTATTCGAGTCAGCATTTCGTTACATTCCTTGCTAATTAGTCCCCCAAACGACAGTGAACCACCACGGTAGTCCGACGACAAGGTTACCAAAAAGGGCTACAGCACTAAACCTGGCAAAGAGGGACCAGATTTTACCTCGGCAAGCAACATGATTGGCCATCATCTTTGGGGAAACAGCTGCAAGGTCTGAAGCTCAAAAATGCTCGACCGTCCTCTTAGCGGCCGGGGCCTCGGCATTCTGCGTCTTCGAGACGCTGTTTCCCCGCATCGAAGCTCCCCATAGACCCCAATGATCCCCGTTGTTACATGCTTAGCTGTGGATTCGGGTGGTGTTTTGACGCTGGTTTTGGTCACAAAGTCACAGCGGATGGTGCGGAATATGTGCCGGTAATTACATAGTACTAAGTACTAGGTAGCTCGGGGAGGGAGGAAACCTGGAGAAGCTCATCCCTATCCGTACCCGTATTCCCGGGGTAAAAAAGAAAGTGGTGCCGGATGAGGGGGAGGCGAAAGCTTGCCAACTTCACCTGTTGTTTTTCTGCAAAGCACATGAAAGCCAGGAGACATCTGTATACATTATTCATCTTGGCTAAATAGCCGGGGGAATATATCACAAGGTCCTACCCCAGATTATCTATCCAGGTGTCTTTCTCTCTTATCCTCCTCCATTGAGATTGTCAACCCACAAACACTCCTAAACCATCACCGAGCTCAACTAGAAGCTATCCCAAGCATCACAGTCATACCACAGGAATTAACCCCATATATCCTTCCAGACACACATACACACATCACACATCATGGCGCCCAGACAACAACGCCAGAAGGCGCCCTGCTACGTCCTCGGCGTCGGCATGACCAAGTTCATCAAGCCCCGCGGCAAGGTCGACTACACGGAGCTGGGCTTCGAGGCCGGCGTCAAGGCTATGCTCGACGCCCAAATCAACTATGACGACGTCGAACAGGGCGTCGCCTGCTACTGCTACGGCGACAGCACTTGCGGCCAGCGCGTCTTTTACCAGTTCGGCATGACGGGCATCCCCATCTACAACGTCAACAACAACTGCTCCACAGGCTCCACGGGCCTCGCCATGGCCCGCAGCTTTGTCTCGTCTGGCGCCGCCGACTGCGTGCTCGTCGTTGGGTTTGAGAAGATGATGCCCGGCTCGCTGCAGAGCTTTTTCAATGATCGCGAGAACCCCACGGGTACCACGATCAAGATGATGGCTGAGACGAGAGGTATCACCAACGCACCCGGTGCTGCGCAGATGTTTGGCAACGCTGGGCGGGAATACATGGAGAAGTATGCCGCCATAGACCTCTACTAGATTGCGTTTACATCTTGCTAATACCACGCGCAGATACGGCGCCAAGGCCGAGGACTTTGCGGAAATCGCCCGCATCAACCACGAGCACTCCACAAAGAACCCCTACTCCCAGTTCCAGGACGTCTACACCCAGGAGCAGATCCTCAAGGCCCCCGAGATCTTTGCGCCTCTCACGAAGCTGCAGTGCTGCCCGACCTCGGACGGCGGCGCCGCCGCGGTGCTCGTCTCGCAGGCCTTCCTCGACGCGCGGCCCCACCTCAAGGACCAGGCCGTCCTCGTCGCGGGCCAGTGCCTCGCCACCGACGCGCCCTCGCTGTTTTCCCGCTCCGCTATCGATCTCATGGGCTTCGAGATGACGCAGCACGCCGTCAAAGCCGCCATGGGCGAGGCCGGGCTTACTCCCAAGGACGTGCAAGTCGTTGAGCTGCACGATTGCTTCTCGGCCAACGAGATGATTGTGCTCGATTCGCTTGGGTTGGCGGAGCCGGGCAAGGCGCATGAGCTTGTGAGGCGCGGGGATATTACGTACGGAGGCAAGTACGTTGTTAACCCGTCGGGCGGGCTGATTTCCAAGGGTCACCCGCTCGGCGCCACGGGTATCGCGCAGTGTGCCGAGCTGGTCTGGCATCTGCGCGGCTGGGCCAATAACCGTGCCGTCAAGGGAACCAAGGCTGCGCTGCAGCATAACCTCGGCCTGGGAGGCGCCGTGGTCGTGACGGTGTACCGTCGCGCGGACGGCAAAGAGGCGCCGGCGGTTGATGATGCGGCGGTGGGTAAGGCGAATAAGCTTGGGTATAATCCGGCGGTCGAGGCCAAGGGGTTCACGGCGCAGCAGGCGGCGGCTGTAAGGAGTAAGACCAAGAAGAGCGATTGGGCTTTGCAGGATACGGAGGAGAAGGTTGAGGCACGGTTCTAGGCGGGGACGGGGGTTGTCGGGATCTTGGGTCTGTATTAATGAAATTGTGAAAAAATAGCTATGAATCGTATATTGCCTCGATCAAACACGCTGCTTCGTTTCATCATCATTGACGTCGTTGTTTCTCTCTTATCCCTACCTCTTACTGCCAGGAGTGACCTAATAGAGTGCCCCTACGCGCTGTTTGTCTTCTTGACTTCATACGTCAACAGCGTCACCCAATAACCCTCGCCGCCGTACTTGGTGTCGTCCTGGTAACCGCGGTGAACCTCTTTGAAGCCCAGTCTCTTGTACACGTTCAGGCCGGCCGGGAAAGCTAGGATGAAGACATCGATCCCCGTCTCCTCGGCGAGACGAATGCCCTCCTGGACGAGGATGGTGGCTATTCCCTTGCCTTTGTGGTCTGGATGGACAGCAAGGTAGTCGAGGCCTTCGTTCACACCTTAGCTCAAGAATGGGGGGTCTCGCAAGGGAAGGGGGGGGGGGGGGGGGGGGGGGGGAAGGGATAAGCCCGGCCCCGAATTCTAAGCCCGAAAGTCCGCGTCACTCCCATCCACTTAGCATCCGACGACGGGGACTTACTGATGTACGGCTTCTCGGCCAAAATCCGCATCTTCTGCGGAACGCAATCATCAATGCCGTCCATATCGATCGGCTCCCACCACGCCGCATCAGAGCGCTCTTGAATCGCCCTCCTCTCCTCCGGGCTCACCGCATCCTCTGCAATCTTGGAGCGGGCCCACGCCGCCGCATCCCGGTGGCCGGCCGGCAGCTCCCAGCGCGCGTAGCCCACGAGCTCGCCCGTTTCGGAGTCGACAGCCTTTTGGTGGCGCAGGGCGGCGGGGTCGCGCAGGAGGTTGTTTGGCATGCGCTTTGTGGCTTCGGCGACGAGGAAGTCGAGGGTTGTGGATTTGGGCCAGAGGAGGTTCCAGTTTGGGTTTGTCCAGAAGGCGGACATGTTGTTGCGGGCTAGGGCGGGGCTGTCGGCGAGGGTTACGGGTTGGACTCTGTAGGGCGGCATTGTTGGAGATGTGGTATTGTTAGATTGGAGGGTTGTTTGTGTTGTTGTATGATTTGAGGCTGTAGGTTGAGGGATGTTGATGTGTTGCTGGATTGATGCCGGATTGCCAAGGATCGTGGGCGGTTTATATATCAAGACCGAGACGGCGTAGTTTGTCAACTGTTGCAAGTCAATGATGCAAAGTTGCAATGTGGTCTCTTCTTTGTAATTACAGGTTTCTTCAAATGCGTGATTTACTTCATCCATCTATGAACAAGAGTTGTAGAGATGGGCTAACTAGAATGAGTATGATAAAGAGTCACTGATTGTTGCGAGTGAGTCTTTCGAGATCGCTGATTTGCTGGGGACCCTTCTCTAGAAGGATTCGGCCACGAATCCTGGTCTCTTCCTGTCGCAGGATACGTGTTCCCAGCACCTGTGCACTGCTTACTGGTCACGAGCTCCTATCTTTTGATCAGCGGCAACAACACTCGTTGAGTCTTCAGAAACTAAAAAAACTTGTTCGATCAATGTTTTCAGGAGTATCGATCAATATCTTCAAGTCTTGATTTCTACGATGTTCAGGGCCTTCAACGGAGTCTCCCGGACTCGGAATCAGGCATAACTCAAAGTTTCTCCGTATCGTTGATGCCGATTGCTGACCGGCACAGAATTGCCGAGAAACATATTGAAGATGACGTGTTTACTTGGACTGTACCTGAGCCTTCTCCTTTCACCAACTTCAATTGTGCCAGTGGCAATTTTCTTTAGAGCATCATTATGTGAGAGGAAATCGGTAAGTGAACCCTCGTCGGCACGAGATTTTGAGCGCAAGGTCGGGTTGCAGAGGTGAATCTGAGCTTTTGGCCGAGGAGATTTGTGTTTGTATAGCGTCTTAACTGGTCTTGGGGAAGACGCGGCTTGCAGTCAAGAGACATGGAACTGATGATATAGGCATCGCGCTGGCACTCTGTGCCATAAGGCCTCAGCACTCCTAAGCCAACTGCGCGAGTCAGATAATCAACTATCAACTCTTGTTCCATCAAGTCGACAAACACTGCACTTCACCCAGAGCGGTAGGCAAACCAATTATTGCAAAATATTCATCGTTTCGCTATTCGGATCATACGGAGTAAAGGTCCCTGAGGTGGGTCAAGGAGCTCGCATTTGATTACCTTTGTCTCTCCCACTTCCCAGAGATTACTCCTCGTAATACGGATCGTCGAAAAGTCGAAAGTAAACGACTGCTAGCCTCAAAGTATAATAGAACACTCTTTAATCATCTAGTGGACCTGCTTGGCTCAAATGAGGGTAAGGAACAACAACTTCACTACTAACATGAGTCGCCTGCCCTTACCGAGTAAACAGATATCATGAGAACAAACTCCACAACACCGCCTGCCAGGACGGAGGGCGTCACTGCACATCCTTGTATCATGAACGCAAAACCGTATCCGTATGTCCTCGTAAAAGAAAATGGGGACTGTGACTAGGGCGACAATTTGTAGACCACAGGAGCCTAGGCCACGCAGAAAGTACGGAAAGAATGGAGGAGATAGGGGGATGCACAGCTTGCTATATAACCAAGTAGAGAGCGAACTATCCCACCGGCAACAGCTCGTACCTGAATCCCCTTCCATATCCATTTGCTATTCTGTCAGAACCTTATTCCAGTCAATATACCATGAAGCTGTCCTCGTCCCTCTTCTTCGTCGCCCAGATGGCCGGCACCGCTTTTGCTCTGAGCGGCGACGGGGCAAAGTGCCAACTCAACATTGAGTGCCTCAGTGGCTACTGCATGCCTCACACCGGCTCGTCTGAGTACGTTTGCTGGGGCCAGCGCCGCAAGGGAGGTTAGTAGACGTCTTCGCCTCGGATGAGGTTTCATGTCCCTAGAGGAAGGAAGGGTGTCTCCGTTAAGTGAGAGAGTTGCTAATGCCGACTTTACTGTGGTCTAGATTGGTGCAATGTCAACTACTCCGGAACTGTGTGCAACAACGGTTTGAAGTGTGTCTCTTACCAAGGTATGTTTTCAAGTAATTCTTTCCTCGAGTTCGAGGTTGGCTGGTAGTACCTCATAGTACTTGTACTGACGTGGTTGACAGGGAGCTGGTTCCTTGGCAAGTGCACTTAATGTCTGCGTTGGTAGCTTTACTATTACTCAAGCAGTTCTCGGTACGCTTCACACAATAGAAAGACCGCGGTATCAGTGGACACTCCTGTTGTCTCGATAGTACTATTCTTTGTTTTTGTTTCTACCTATTCAGCTTCCCTACCTGCAAAGCCCATAATAATGGATCAATCATGTCGATGGGCGCCATCACCTCGTGAGCCGCGCACCTGGCTGAGTTCGCGGCCCTTCCAGGTGACAACAGCTCGTAATGGTGTTGGTAGCTTACATGGCAAGGATGAGTCTAAGTGGTGATAGCCCAATCAATAAAGTAATGAACACGATCAAGAAAGCCCCACCATCTTAGTGGTCTAGCCTTTAGCTTGACAGCTTTGTCTCAGAGTATGTTGGGGCGAGAAGTTGTGCCAAGCTTTCCCAATTGTGAATACACACGTCATGACCTTTGGTGAGCAGGCCCAAGTGTAAATGACGAAAGGAGATGCATCTTAGGGAACACATGCTCTGAAATGGTATTATTATACGGGACTCCGCTATATCCAACACTATCTTTGCCTCCTGGCTTCACCGGCCTCCTTGCCCAACTTCTCCAACGCCTCCTCATACTTCTGCACTCTCTCCTCCTCGAACCCGCCGCTGTCGGGGTCTCCGATACGCAGACGATCAACCTTCTCCGCGCGACGGATCCCGCTGCTCGGCTTGGCAATTTTACCCCAGAACCAACCACTCTCGCCGTCTTCAACCAGCGTCCAGGCGGCGCCGGCGCGGCCAGCACGCGCGGTACGGCCAACGCGATGGACGTAGCCGGCGGCGCTGGCGGGTAGGTCGTAGTTGATGACGTTGTCGAGGAGGGGAAGATCGATACCGCGGGCGACGAGGTCGGAGGCGACGAGGAGGCGGAGGCGGCGGGCGGCGAAGGCGCGGAGGGCGCGGCGGCGGTCCGAGGTCTTTTGGGTTGAGGTGAGGGTTGCGATGGACGGGGCCAGAGAGGGGTGGAGGAGAGAGATGAGGCGGGAGAGGCGGAGGGCGGATTCGTTTGATTTGGTGAAGATGAGGGCTGTTGTTGTGAAGGGTTTTGTGGAAGATTTGGATGTGGTGGCAGCGGCAGCTGTTGAGCTGGCGTCTGAGGAGCTGTCTGAGTCCGAGTCGGAATCTGAGTCTGAGGAGGAATCGGAGTCTGAGGAATCGTCTGATGAAGATATGGCGTTGTCTTCCGCGGGCGACTCGGAAGCCGTCTTGGACGTGGTCTCGGACATGAGGTGGCCGTCGAGAAGGAGGTCGATGAGGTAGAGCGGCTTGAGGTTTGCGTCGTGTACTCTGATGGCCGATTCCTTGAGCAGAGTGGGCAGGGTATGCTCGGCAATAGATGTCGTGCTGTCGGCTTGTTTGCCTTCCAAGACGATGAGCTGCGGCCTACGGAGTTGTAGCCCACTCAGCAAGCTAAGGTCTCGCGTCAGAGTGGCACTGAGGACGACTTTGCGCACGCCGCTCAGATTTGAGTCGGGGAAGTCGCGAGCGCTGAATTTGTTGGTGCTGAGCTTGGGCATGACGGTATCCAGCCAGCCCTGGAAACTCTGAGCGAGGAGCTTGTCGGCTTCGTCGACAACCATCCAGCGCACATAGTCTAGTGAGAAGCCGGGGGTCAGGTTGATGTGCTCGACGAGCCTTCCGGGGGTGCAGATTAGGACGTCGACCTTGGATGTGTAGTCGACAATGTGATCCGGAAGAGACCCGGCGATCGGCTTAGTTACTGCTGCATCTCCATCTTCTGCTGCGGTGTCTTCAACATCCTTCCATGCCTCCAATTCCCTTTGGTGTGCGACACGATACGCTTCAGGGTCGTACCTCTCCCTCTTTTCGATGAGACTGGCTTGCTCATGCTTCAACTGCTGACTACCAATGGAAATGCCGATGCGCACTCTCTTCTGCTCTCGGCCATCGAATGCGCTGGCGCAAAGCTCAAATACCTCCTGGGCCTGCTTGACCAACTCACGCGTCGGCAAAACGACCAGAGCCCGCAGCCTCGTCACGGCGCCTTGGCTGATGTCGCGCACAATGGGCAAAGCGTATGCCAGGGTCTTACCGGAACCAGTGGCTGCGGCAACGAGGACATCCCCCTGGCGATGCTTGCAAGACGGCAGAAGCAAGGGAAGAGCGGCCGTCTGAACAGCAAAAGCGTCCTTGAACCCCTTTGACTCGAGAATCTGTGCTGCTTTCGGGTTGATACCAATATCTGCAAAGGGTGTCCGTGTGTCGGGAGCTACGCGGATCGGGGCGGCGAGCCATGGTGGCAGCGTCTCGTAAGATGGTTTCGAGTTATCGAGGGCGGTCGGTTCGGGTTGTGGAAGGGGCACCAAGTCGTATTCTTCTTCCTTCTCCTCTTCCTCGTCCACGTCCATCTTGTCCGCGGCTTCATTCTTGGCGATCAGTTCTGCTGACTTTTTCAAGTACTTTGTAGCCTTAGCCAGGACGTCCTTGTGTCGTCTGTCGACAGCGTCATCTTCTGCGTCCTCGTCCTGTTCGCGGTCTTTCTTCTTCTTTTTCCTATCCTTCTTTTCCTTGGCATCCTCTACTTCTGGAGCCTCGACCTCAGATTCGCGCTTCTTATTTTGCTTCTTTTCCGACTTGGTGTCTTTTGACTCCGATTTCTCAGACTTTTTTGGTGACGTCTCTTCTTCGTTTAATGCAGCACCAGTTTCCGACTTTCTTGACTTCTTCTTCTTGACGGGGGTATCTACGGCCTCGAGCGGCTCTTCATGTTTGCGCTTCGTCGCCGGGGACAGGACGTCAGGTTCTGTCGGTGCTGCACTCAAAATTGAGGTGCGAGGTTTCTTGGACGGTACGAATCGTGCATACGGAACGGCCGCGGTGGTACCTTCGGTCACGACTGGCTCGCTAGCTGGTATCGCGGATGGTTCTGGAGCCGGGAGAGGAGGCGGCGCCGAAGCTTCGACAGGCGCCTGAGCCTCCTTCTTTTTGGATGGGACGTAACGAGCGTACATGGTGTCAATTGGGCTCTCGCAAACCTTGTAGAGTTTCTGCAGACGTTGCGCAAACCTCTTTCTTTTCGCAGCGAGGCTTGACATACAGATATTGGAGGGGCACCTGTCGCACCGTCCCAAAAAAAAGTTGGATGAACTTCCTTATCGTAGTTCTGCCAGGCTCCACCGCTTACCATTTCTTTCTTATCGGACCACCATGCCGCAGCTCCCCCCTTAGCTCCAGTCGCGTACCTTCCAGGTGGTTGCGCAAGGTACCTACCTAGCTAAACAGGATCTTGAGGAACACACCTCTCCGTCCTTTTCCATTTGCAACTACATATCTTGTCCCGCGAGTTTACGCTTGACAACCTGCAATGCTCCATCATCGTTCTTCTAGGTGACCACCGCTCGCGCCGAGCATATAGACAACATGGCTCGAACATACAATATCGCTATGGCTAGCGACTTCTTCTTCCCACAGCCAGGAGGAGTCGAAAGTCACATTTACCAGCTATCCACGAAGCTCATCGATCGAGGCCACAAAGTCATTATCATTACCCACGCTTATAAGGGTCGCACCGGTATTCGAAACCTGACAAACGGCCTGCGAGTCTACCACATCCCCTTCCTCGTCGTATTCCGATCGGCTAGTTTCCCAACCGTCTTTTCAGCCTTTCCCATCATTCGCAACATCCTCATTCGAGAACAGATCGAAATCGTCCACGGCCATGCGAGTTTGAGCACCTTTTGCCATGAAGCTATTCTGCATGCGAGGACCATGGGTCTCCGGACCGTCTTTACGGACCATTCGCTTTTTGGATTCGCCGATGCTAGCAGTATCTTGACAAACAAGATTCTCAAGTTTTCCCTGAGTGACGTGGACCACGTTATTTGTGTCAGCCATACCTGGTACGTCGCGCCGCGGCCTAGCCCTCGGACAGGCATAACTGACTGGAATTGTAGCAAGGAAAATACCGTCCTCCGAGCATCTCTAGATCCCCTCATGGTTTCAGTCATACCTAACGCCGTCGTGTCTGAGAACTTCCGTCCACTCGATTATCCCCCAACCGACGCCAATAATGCATTTGGCCAAAATCCACCTCCCGCACATCACCTGGGACCGAACGATGTAGTCACAATCGTCGTGATATCTCGTCTCTTCTATAACAAGGGAACGGATCTCCTAACGGCTGCGATCCCTCGCATCCTCGAGAACCACCCGAACACGAGGTTCATCATTGCAGGCTCAGGACCCAAGGCCATTGACCTCGAACAAATGATTGAACAAAACGTCTTACAAGATCGGGTAGAAATGCTGGGACCTATCAGGCATGAAGAAGTACGCGACGTCATGGTTCGGGGCCATATTTACCTCCATCCTAGTTTGACGGAAGCCTTTGGTACTGTGATTGTAGAAGCAGCCAGTTGCGGGCTGTACGTGGTATGCACTCAGGTTGGTGGTATTCCTGAGGTCCTCCCGTCGCACATGACTGTCTTCGCCAAGCCAGAAGAAGACGACCTGGTTGCTGCGACGGGGAGGGCTATTGCTGCACTCCGAGCAAACAAGATTCGAACGGAACGTTTCCATGAGCAAGTCCAGAAGATGTACTCATGGACAAATGTTGCTGAACGCACCGAGCGCGTGTACCAGGGAATCACGGGCGAGCTCAGCGAAGCCGAATTCTATGGCTATGACGCTGCCAATTCCTCGACATTCGGCAATAGTAGAGTGCGGTCTTTCGCCCTCATCGACCGACTCAAGCGATACTACGGCTGTGGTATCTGGGCTGGCAAGCTCTTTTGCCTCTGTGTCATTGTTGACTACTTGCTATACCTGTTCTTGGAACTGTGGTTCCCGCGAGAGGAAATCGACATTTGCCCCGAATGGCCGCGTAAAGTTCCTCAAGATGCGGAAGACTCTAAGGAAGACTGAGCGTGGTCTCATTATTTGACTCGCACAACTAACCGGACTGCTCCGGGGACAGATTGTTCGGCTGTTCAATAACCAAGAGACGCAAGATCTGGGTTAATGTTCGAATCAAATTGTATAATTCCAGGCATAAGAGCAGCGACGCTGCTGACCAGTGGTTATCGGCGTGGACCGGCGATGGCCGGCGGAAATCAACGGACATTGAAAACTGGTTCAGATTCTCCGCACTCCACGCTACGCCGAGTCAGCCCATCGAGTCTTCCAGATCTGCAACCAAATACTTTCAACGGGAGAGATCCTCCAATGGTAGCAGCCTGAAAGGAAATCAGCATGGAGTAGGGGTCTCGGTGCGCCGGATGGGCCTCCGTAGACACGACCCGGAGAGCCCCGATGAAAGGACGGGATTGGTTGGCATTCACGATGTGCTCAACACCATAGCGCAGGAACCATCTTTAACGGGCTGGGTCGGCAGTGAGCTGCCTGTTCCGGTCAGGCGCCCGGGTGGGCCATGCGACCATTTGAGCCATCTGAACCCCCCACCACGCGCGCATCTCGACCATCTCACATGCATAGCGACACAAGACAAAACCCAGCGATTTCCGCTCCTCGTTTGCGAATTCTGGCCGCAGTCATCAGCGATACATATTGTTTGCTTATTATATCCCAGCCACAGTCGGCTTCTCAAATCATCAACGAAGCGATTCCCAAGTTTTCAACTTCAAGAGACCCCGCGCATCCACTTGCCCGCGATGGCCGCCGCACAGGACCTCCCCATGGATCTTCCCATAATCGATCTCGACGTTTTCCTCAACGAGCCCCGCGACTCCGCTGCAGTCCGCGATGAGTGCCAAAAGGCCGCGACTGCCCTCATCACCTATGGCGCGCTCGTGCTGCACGACTCACGAGTCGCCGAATCAGACAACACTACTTTCCTCGACTTGCTTGAGGACTACTTTGCCCAGCCGACTGAAGAGCTCAAGAAGGATGAGCGTCCGGAGCTAAGCTACCAAATCGGTGTCACTCTTGAGGATACAGAAAAGCCCAAATGTGCAGTAGACGAGCCCTGCCTGAAGGTCATCGAGCGCCTGGCGGAAACCGAGCGCCCTCTCGATATCACAGCACACGACCCCGACCCAAAGTGCCGTTTCTTCTGGCGCATGGCTGAGAACCCCCCGTACGAGACCGAGTTCCCCGGGCTCAACGCCCCCAATGTCGTCCCCGAAGCTCCGCACATCCGTGAGCGTTGGCCTCCTGCCATGGACAAGTGGGGAACCTCAATGAAGCAAGCCGTTACGGGCCTGGCAGAGATGGCGGCGGTCGGTTTGGGTCTCCCTGCCGATGCTTTCAGCTCTGCTGGCAAGTACGGGCCTCACCTTCTCGCACCAACGGCTTCTGACTTGGTCAAATACGGCAAGCAGGACACCATTCTCGCCGGTTTCCACACAGACCTGAACTTCCTGACCATTCACGGGCGTTCTCGGTATCCAGGCCTGCACATCTGGGCGCGCAACACGGGAAAGAAGATTGCCGTCAAGATTCCTGAGGGCAACTACTTGCTCGTCCAAGCCGGAAAGCAGTTGGAGCACTTGACGGGCGGGCTCATCAAGGCAGGCTTCCACGAGGTCGTGGTGAATGAAAAGACACTGGCCGTGATCGAGCGCCGCAAAGCCGAGCTCCCCGATCGCCCGCTCGTCCGCATCTCGTCCACGTTCTTCTGGCACTTGTCATCGGACCACGATCTCACTCCTATCCCTCAGCTGTCGGAGCAGGCACAAAAGGTTAGGGCTGAGCAATTCAACCTGGGCAGGGACGAGGGCGAGGAGGTTACGTATGCGCCCATGAAGGTGGGACAGCAGGTGCAAGAGTAAGTCATCTGATCTCTTGGATGCGTTTTCTGACTGATGCTAACAAATCGTAATAGGGAGCTCAAGCACATTGCTCTGATGACATGACGAGAAACGAGATTCGCTGTATTATGATAGTACTATTAATGACAAAATTCCCAAAGCGTGGTATGGATTTTTAAGCCTTGTAGAATTCCTCGCCCACAGCGACGTCCACCTTTTCCTTTGCAACTCTGTCGACGGCTGTCTTGGGGTCTTCGTCGCCATCCAGCAAGTCTACCCACGATGTCGTGAAGCTGTCATTCTCCGCAATAAGCGCGGCGACCTCGGCGACGGTCTGTCGGCTGGAGGTGCCCTTCGCCTCCTTTGTCTTTCCAAACTCAATCTTGCCGGCCGGTTCCTCGGTCAGCAGACCGGGTCTCAGACTAATACCAGCAAAGCCATCTGTCCTCTTTCTCGATTCTTGCCAGAGGGCCTCATCGGCGGCGATTTTGGCGAGAGAGTAGTTGTAGAGTTTCTTGTTGCCGTCGAGTGCGTCTTGCCAGGCTTTATCGGACCACCAGGTGGGTTTCGTCTTGCGGGAGCTCAGGTAGGAGACGAGGATGAATTTCTTGATGGACGGGGTGGCGACGGCGGCGTTGATGAAGTGGATGGCGGCGTCGCGGTCGATTGTGAAGGTGCGAGAGGGGTCGCCTTTGCCGCCTGCGCCGGCGGACCAGAAGATTGTGTCTGGTTTGACTTCGTCTAGGATTGCTTGGGCTTTTTGTTGGGAGGTTACGTCTTCGATGCTGCGGACGAGGACGTTGAGTTTACCGCTGCCCGAAGACGAGGGAGCGAGCTTTTCGATGGCGGGGACTTGGTCTTGAGTGCGGATTATGGAGGTTACGGTCCAGGACTTTTTGAGGAGGATTGGGGTTAGGTGCTGGGAGACTTTGCCGTGGCCGCCGAGGATGAGGACGTGTTTGCTCATGTTGGGCTGTTTTTAATAATTGTTGATTTATCTAGAGAATGCGTAGGACTGTGTGGCTGGCAGGATACGTCGTGATGTCTTGCAGTGTGATGTGGTATGATGCCAGTCCAAAGGTATAAAGGTCCGTGTGAAGGAGAGGCAGACAGTCGATTCAAATAGTGGTCACATTAGGTGTACGGAAGACGAGACCGCGGGGCTTTGAAATCAACCTGGATGGCTTCCCCGCTCGGCCCCATCAAAAGCACGGCGTTAAGGGCCGTGGATGACTTGATTCGGATGCGGGCGGACTGGCCGAGGTGGATCTCTACTTAATTGTACGTATATCCGTACCTTCCCTTCCATGGAAATAAGTACATGTTTTGTTGCGGAAAGAAGGACCCCGCGGATGAGCATTTTCGGGGACGGTGTCACGTCACCGGGGCGTCAGTGACGTACGTCCCGCGAGTTTATTTGCTTCGCTTTGGCAGCTGTTCCCCACCGGATTGGCTAAAAGCCGATAACGAGCTTTCTTTAGGAAAGCACTCAATTGAGTTTGTGGTGCTTGCCCCCTAGTCAGAATCCATGGCTTTCGGCGTTAGTTACTCAGCGACTTGGACGTCAGTCTTGGCCAACATGTCGTGCCCTTCCTTGACGCCTTCTCAGGTCGGCTCTCTACTCATGTTCGACTCTCACCATGATAACGCGCTTGGTTCAGTTCTACGCAAGATACTTTGACTTGTACTTTAAGCGTCTAGCAGATCAAAGTCGCCCGGAAACCTGAGCGCAGCAAGATCGAATCTCTCCGCCTCGAGATCCGTCAGGCTCGACTGGAAGAAGTGAGGCGTCATGGGCTGAATCATGTGATTTTTGTCTAGGAGGGGAAAGGCTTTCCTGATGGACATGATGACGGGAAGGTCTTCTCGAGGAGGAGGCCTATAGAGAAGATCATGTTAGTGAGGTAGGATGCCCATGCTTCTCTCGGCCGGCTTGCTGGGTTGCGGAAGTCGTCGAGGCGGAGGAAGGGGTAGCGGCAGTGGACTTTGGTCTCGTCGAAGAGGGAGGTTTCTGTTGCGGTGTCGAGGGGGATCTCCTGGTCGTGCCTACGTGCTGTGTTGCCGCCATCGTGGACTGATGGATTAGATAGTGTTTGTGGTGGTGGGTTGTCTTCCTCTGAGCGAGCAAAGGTAGCCAAGAGGCCGATGGCGGGCGAGCTCCTTGAGAGAGAAGCTTCTGGTCCGATTCCCGGCCCTGATGCGAATGAGACTCTGCGTCGGTGGTGATAGTATTTGTCTGCGTGGTGATGTGTATGAGACGCTTCATGCGCGCGAGACAACGATGATGGTAGCAACGGCTCTTGCGCATAGCTGTGTTGGACATGATTGTTCCGATTATTGACGACCACCTGAAGACGAGCGTCGGTCTCTTCGAGACGCGATATGCGCTCCTCCAACAACGCGATGTCACCCAGCCTTGCTAGGGGTGTGTGCGTCGCGGGATGGTGAAGAAGAAGATGATTTGAACTCCTAGAAGGGGAGGTGATACCGCAGCATCACTATAACATTACAAGTTTGGACCAGGAGGGTTGCGAGCAGATCTAGATCGGCGAAGAGAGAGAGATCAACCGTCGCAAACTACTGTCTATGAACCAGCCAACAACGTGAAACTAGTTGTTTCCTCCTTCGCAACTGGGGAAGAGCAGGGGAGAAGGAGAGAAACTTTACAGCGGAGGGAACCCGGGTCCGGGGGCCGGGTTTGATAGGACGACGGGAGCACCGCCTCGTTGCATCGCTCTCCCGACCTGGCGCAGTTGGCGCAGGGCCTCTGATCATCGCGTTTTTGCTGGTCGAGGGGGGAAAAAAACAAAGATTGTCAGCCCCTTCCCCTTTTTGCACTTGTCCAGGTTTCCTCTTCTTTTGGGAATGGTGGGGTTTGAAGTTGTGATGATCTTGGTCAAAGGGTCAACCCAACTTGGGCAAGGAGTGGTTGTTTCAAAATTGGTGACAGTGCTGCTTTAGGGTACCAGAGAATGGATGTCTCTGGCTCTTACACACAGTGAAGTGAAAACCCGGAAGGAAAAGAAAAAAAAGAAAGAAGAAGAAATAAGAATAAAATAGCCACGTACCTTTCGCCGACGACACCGTGAACAAGCCTGTGCCTTTCTCCGCTTGGCCGGTGGTTCGCCGCAGTCTTCGGTCGCGGGTGCGGTGATTGTGGGGTTGAACGGGGAGTCGGCGGGGGCCGGTGGCGTCATGGCCGCCGGGGGTGGCCTTTCTTTGATGGGTGTTTCTTGTTTCCTCTTTCCGTAGTGCTGTTGATTCTATTTACGGAGGAGCTGAAGGGTTCAGTTGTTTCGAGTTTAAGAGAGGATGGCATTCTACATTTTCAAGTCTCTATATTGCCACAGGCGGCAGTTTGAGTGATGACGGAAAGATGGATGATTGTCGCCCAACTGAGGCTGGCCGAGGAGATGGTGCGACTGATAAGCATATCCGTATCCTTACGTGGTAATCAACTCGGCATCCTCTCAGTCAGCTAGCTTTCGGGAGATAGAGCTGTGGGACTATGGAGTTGTGGGTCTCCTTCCCGTTTTCTTCTGATCGGGAGTTGCGCAGTGATAAGATTCAGTTGATTAATTCCGTGTAAGTCAAGTTGACGGGGAACGAAGAAGGGCGAGATGAACAGATCTCCAGCACTGTACCGAAGCATCTGAAAGGTATCGCGAGCCAGTGAACCATGGCACCAACCGGACCTTGGCTTACTACAGGAATTAATTGTTATTCCTTGAAAGTGTTCCTTGAAGGGGTACACACGGGTCACTTTTGGTGTTTCTCGCCTTGCTCCGCCACCGCACAGCTCGAGATTTTTGTTTGGTGTTTTCAATGGCATCATCAAACAAAGTCGCAATCTTCGCAAAGCTCGCTTGATTTTGACATGATTAACGAAGACCCAAAATGCTCTGCCTTTCGGTTCGACCTTATTTGCAGCGTTCAAGTGTGAAGTAGCATTTACACAGATACCGACACGATAAAACGTGGAGCGGGTTCGGATTCGTACGTCGTTTGTTTCCCAACCCGCGCCGCTTTGACATTGTCCTCTCGCGGCATCAACTAACTGCAGGAGAACACACCTGTAGTCCTGCACATGAAAAACCCGAATACGTTCGAAACGTCAAAAAGCAAAGATGAACCATAAAGCAGGCTCCTGGACCTCGGCATATCCTTTTCTTGATTTTCCAAATGTTGAGAAAAAAAAAGTTGGTCGAGACTCGCGATGATGTCGGCGCCATGCTAGAATAGGCATTCTTACCGCGTTATGCTCTAGATATCCCACGTAGCTTCTTCACGTGGATGGTACCGAGGAAGTGCGAGGCTACCAAGAAGAGACGATCGACGGTGCAACCTTCGATCACTATAGTCGCACTATTACCGTTCAGTATATCTCTGACATTGGCGTCCCATCCACCGAGTGAGAGTCTAGGAGAGTGCACCACCAGAAAGATGGGACGGAGTGCTACCACATGACGTGTCTGCCCTCCTCCTGGGCGGGATGGGCGTGATCAAGGAAAGGAGAGGAATTTTCAACTTTGACTAGCGGAATGAGCCCGACCTCGGATCCGGGTCGCCCACCGCCCGAACGAGAGGCCATGCCTTGGGTGTCGTAAGATTCTCGGTGGGCGACCGAAAGGTGCCTTGCCTTTTCTTTCTTTCTCCTACCTTGCACACCCCCGGCGCGGGATTGTTTTGACAGCTGCGTTTTAGAAAGTCTTGACTGCCGAAGGGGGTAGGGGAGACGACGGGCCTCTTTCTCTATGCAGAATCAAGCTGCACCAGGGGAGCGTGCCGAGTCAACCGAACGCGTCGGGGGAGGCTGAAGATAACCCTGTTTCTTTTTCGTCGCCTGGTAGGGCATAATAAGGATGTGGAGATTTCTATGGATAGCAACAAAGTACTCCGTAGCAAGAGTCTTGCCTGATTGCCAGTGCAGCCTGCAGAAAGAAGAAAGAAAACTTCCGTGGCCGGTTACCGAACGGAGATCGTGCAAGGCGTGCAAAGCCCTGAACCTCCCCCTGTCTACGGTCTCCCTGATTGCCCGCGCTTGACGGCGTGTCGGTGTAAGAGATGGCTGGATTGGGGTTGAGGAGGTGACCAGTCTGGCAGTCCTGCCGAGGGGGAAAAGTGTACGATCGCCGGGGTGGTAACGGAGTACAGACGAGTCGGTATGGGTTGCGACGCGGGGATCATGCAAGTTTCCGAAGTTTGCCTGTTGGCGAGTTTGACAGGTGACGCCGTGTACGGGGGTGTTCCGACGTCAGGTCGGGCAGCGGTGGGTGATGCGAAGAGCAGATGAGGACGAGGAGGCTCTTCCTCTCCCCCCGGTTGTCGTCAGGGATTATTAACGTTAGTAACTTAGTCCGGTTTCTGGTGGCTCCTTTGGGGGAATGAGAGACAATACGGATAACCCTGATTACCTTATTGAGAACGGATATGTTCGATAGACTCTTTTGCGTTGCAATGTTCGGATTTGAATGCGACGCCAGTAGTTGAGTTGGGGCTCTCCACTTGGGGCCAAGACACAATTGGGGGGCCTCCAGGCTCTCGATCGAACTGTTCCATTGTCTAGAGACGTGCAGTGGATCGAGAGACTGAGAGCCTCAAGACACAGAGAGAAAGGGCTGATGGAACTTTGAAAGAGACATTGGCGGGTCGTGAGGGATGAACCTGGAGAGGGGTCGGTTTGGCGGCCGGAAGGGCGGGAGAAAAGGTGGGACGAAGGAAGGATTGAGGGTTTCATTGGTCTGAAGAAGATCAACTCAAACACTCCACGTCTGAAACGGGCTGGCAGCAACCCTGCCGACATGCAAGCACTGGGGCTTCAGTCTTTAGATCCCTGGGACTTTGCGGGAGGGGGGAGGGAATAAGAGTGAGACTAAGACGTGACTAACGAGGGCCACATTATTCCGTGCCCCTCTTGGGCTCTTGGGGGCTAGTTGTTCCTACTATGCAGTAGTTGTCTTGCGGGACGGGACTTGACACGCTTTCTGTCAGTTGAGAAGCAAGTACTGCGTACGTAGACATATTGAGTCTAGTGCTGCAGAAGACTGTGCATCGGAGCCGCGCTTTGAGCCTCCAACTGGCGTGCAGGGATCAATATCAATACCATTGTGAGACGGTTGCGACCCCTAGAGATCCCTGGTACATTCATCTTCCTCATCGAGACATTGACACACGCTCATACGCACAGAGGAAGAGAGGAAGAGTGAGTGTGAGTTGCTCCCTCTCTCACTGTCCCGACTCTGCGTCACGTCAGCCAAAACTCTCACAGTAAGGTTTCTCGGATGATGGGGGGGGAGGGGTGTTCAAACCGTCAGAGAATTTGAAGTGAACGACGGTCGACGGACCGAGGGAGAGACGAGGAATGGATGGGGTACCTAAACAATGTACATACATGGCACCATGTCATGTACTCTCTGTCAATATACGCTGAAGAGTGTAAGAGGGAGGGGGTACGTGGCCACCGGCACATCTTTGTTTAAAGATTCCTGTTCCCCCCCAGCCCTCTTTTTCTGGGACGGCAAGTGCCTTGGTCTCTTTTTTATTTATTTTGGGACTGACATTGTATGATGTTTATTGAGTGTTTAATTTGTCTTGTTTGAACTGCCCTTGACGTTGACAGCTTCCGAGGCTTGGCACGAAAAATCAAGAAGACGAACAAGAGGAATAGAGAGAGGGCGATTGTTGAGCCGCTGGATCGACTTACATCGGAAAATACCACCCACCTCACGCCGTCACCTGACACTACCTGGTCGTCATTGGGACATTGAACCTGCTTTGGAGATCAGGATTTCATCATACCTCACCACACTCGAGTTGGTTACGAGGTTATTCGGAGGAATTCCCCCACCACCAAAAGGCCCCGAACTCATACTGAACATAATCTACTACGACGCGACGAACATATCCAAACGGCCTTTACGTACCAAAACATATACCACAAAGCACGAATAGCGATAATCATTTACTCTCACGACTCAACCATCTCACTTCTTCATCATGGCCGACAACCAGCCTGACGCCAAAACGCCTCCCACGAGTCTGGGAGGGCAAACGGGAGTGGGAACAGGAACCCCAAACACACTGAGCGAAGCAACGAGGGCACAAACAACACCAACACCCTCAATAAAAGCGACGCCATCATCATCATTGCCTGCTAGAGCCTCATCCTCATCATCATCGGCACCAATAAGGCAGAACACACCAACGCTCTCACAGACGTCTTCACAAACACCAACACCATCACCGCCGCCGCCGCCGCCGCCTCCACCACCACCATCAAGTTCCGCCCGCCCTCTCACAACCTTCATTATCTCAACCACCACAAACGCAACATCAACACCCACACCATCCCTCTCCGACCCGCCACCACTCCCCTCACCAACATCCATCCCTGGGGTGATACCCATCTCAACACCAGGCGTCGGCGACCAAATCCCCACGCCAACACCATCCTTCATCCCACCGCCTCCAGACCCCGTGATACCAGAGACCACGCCCCTCAGCCTCGTTCCGACCCCGACGCCGACTCCCACACCAAGCGGCAACGCCAACAGCGGAAGCGGCGGCATCGCCTCGCCCAGTCAAGCCGAGACCTCGGGCGGCAGCAACGTGAAGCTGATGCCGGCGCTGCCTATCGCGTTAGGCTCCGTGGGCGGGGTTTTGATCTTCGGGTTGGTGATTGGGATGCTGTACCGTAAGGGCAGGTGGCCGTTCCGAAGCAAGAGGAACTTTGCGCAGATTGACGAGTTGGAGGTGGAGAGGCAGCAGGAGCTTGAGAGGCAGAATAAGATGAAGTGGGATCCGAGGGTGACGAGGACGTACAGGACGCAGGATGCGGGTGTCAACTTTTGATGACGGAGATAGCATAGCAGTAAATAACAGCTATAGACGATTGGAACGTCTTCATTCACATCACTGATTTATTCCGTTATTTATTGTGACTTTTTGTGTGCTTGTAGAGTTGCTTAAGCCCGGTGTCTCTCTCAACTCATCACTACAAGTAGAGACATAGTGCTGTGTTGAGTAATTTCACAGTTCAGTGTCAGCCGCTCATCGCTGTAGCTCAATTCTGAGCAATCAACTGAAATGCCCTCATAAATCATCTCTACGACGAAACTACTGAATGAACAGAGTACTGAAAAGCTCTCGCCGAGTCGGCGCCGCTCTACATGGAGCACGAACCAGGTACATGCAAACCCAGGCTGCCCGCGGAAAGGGCTGTCCACGAATCATCCCAACCTTTCTCAAACCGCTCGCAACGCGGCCGTTCCTCCCAGTCTGTGTTCTGTCCCTCCCTCTCGGTAACTCAATAGCAGAGTGGGTGGTGTTGGCTCTTGCGTGAGTTCACCTCACCCTCTCAAATGGAAAGGGTCTCTTTTCCACTTCGTGTGGTAAAGTTTTTCTACCAACCCACCTTCAGGCCACCCAAAGAACCGGCCTTTGTGAAGTTCGGATTTCAGCGGTGCTTTGAGTTTTATTTGGGGGCTTTTTGGGAGGGCCGCTTGTTGGTCTTGGTGGTCGAGGCGTACGGGGCAGTTGTGATTAGACGGACTGGACTGGACTTCGTTCGGGGTCGTGTGTGGGTGGGTGTGGGACCGCGTCACGGCTGCGGAAGCGGGGGGCGGACGGGGTGAGATGGTGCTCGGATGGAAGTGGTGAGTTGCGAAGATCCGGAGTAGGAGGATTATGGAGTTTGTGTGAATTTCCACCAACTGGATACAATCATCTTATCAAGCTGACAAATTTGTACGAGACAGGCCACAGTAAATATGAGAAGTGAGTACGATGAAGAACGGCAAACCAGTTTTATGTAGATTTCGGACGGCCGATGAACAAAGTTACGAAAGCGATGAACCTGGTACGGGGGAACTCGCAACCCGTCACTTGGTAGTCAGGTAGTAAACCGGCACTCATCAACCCAGCAATCCAGATTCAGCACACGCAAGGATACACCTAGAAGAGCCTCACACTCTCTTTCCCGTTCATCAGCCTCTCGCACCTTCAAGGTTCGACTAAATGTCGGGTTCTTCCCTAGCCGACGGGGATGGATGGATGGCGGGCGGCGGGTAAAGTCTGTTCATGACAGGTGAGCCGAGCGAGGCTTCCCGCATATTGGAGGTGTAGCGAGCGTTTATTTGGTGGGGTTTCCGTTGGGGGCCTATGGATGGGGCGCGTGTGATGTAGAGGGAGGATGCTTGTTTGTGAAGGCTTTTATGTCAGGAGAGGCAGCATAGTGTAAGTAGCAACCGTCGCCTGCCTCGAAGATGCCGCCTGTGATGCTTCTTGATGGCGTCCGGCTGTACGAGCACTAGTGTGTAATCACATACGACAAGGGGAATCGAGTGTATCCCCGTCCCTTTCAGCCATAGGCCAGGGTGAAGTCTTTACTATACATGAATCCAGAATCCTTTGAATCCTTCCCGGAAACCTATTTCTCACCTTTTGCCATGGTCTTGTGTGGTACAGTACACGAACATGGGCGGGATGTGTCCAACACCTAACCGGACTCGATCACCACACCAACCATACTGACAGCAGTAGGCCCGGTGCCTCGAAACCTTCATAGGTCTCAACACCGTCCATGTCTCTGTCTTGGGGTCAAAAGTCGCTTACTAAGGCAGTGGTTTCTTGGCGGGGGAGGTTCAGGATCGGGACGAGGTCGTGCCATGTGCCGCTGATCAGGCTGCATGATGCGCGCGTGCAAGGGAAGTTATGTATGTTACTTGGATCAAATGCTGTGGCAATATCTCATATCCGTTTCTGTGAATACGCTGTTTAGCCAAGTAGAGATCCATATGGCACTAGCTACGACGATCTCAATCGCACATCAGTCCTTACAATGATCGGACAAGTAATGGCAAGCGTGTTATATTACGAAGGCTTTGGGAGATACTCGAAACAGTTAGCGTATACATGGCTACCTCTACGCGTCGACAACCTCAAACTTGACAAGGATGGAACATTTGGTTTCTCTTCCCTTGAGGTCAAGCATGCGGATAAAGACCCAGCCCGGTATCGTGTAGAGCAGTCGTACCGCGCCAACGGCAAAGATTGGGTTCTTGGCGAAGCTGTCATCACTCTTGATGAGCATCCGCAAGAAAACCATTTCGTTGTCTTGGTATTCCCACTCTAGGACCTCGTCCCATAGCGGGTCGGTGGGTGGTGGATTCTCTCCCTTGTGCAAGAATCCTGTCAGCTTGTGCTGTTTGTAGCCAGCCGTTTTCCTCTTTGGAGGCTTGATATCGAGATCATGAGGATGTACAAGCGTGCACGTGAGGTAGGGCTTGATTGTCTCGTCTTCGTCGCGATCGGACGGCACGGGAATGTCGGTGGCCCCGCCGACGTGTAGACGGAGTTTTCGCTTCCTTCCGTTGCTGAGGTGGCCCGAGCCACCGGGCCGGAGCTCGGCGGGCTTCAAAATGAAACCCTCGGAACCGGCGAATAACGCCTCATTGAGCTGCATTGATGCTCCAAATGTCTGCCAGTTGAGGGCACAGATCTGGGCGCCAATTCCCCAAAAAGGAACGGGATGGAGATTCTTGGAAGAGATGCGAGTTCCCTTGGGGAAAACACGCATCAGATGGTGAGCGTTGTGGCGGGAGATTTTGTCAGTGTGCGTCGGCAGATGGGAGGCCAGCCCAGACTCGGAGACGTTGATGAGGTGATGGTGCGGCGCATCTTGCAGAACCTCCTCAAACCACGAATTGTTGATGGGCTTGACGGACTGAGCGTAGACGCCGAGTGCTTCTAATTCTGGGACAATCAGCGAAGCAGGCGCAGCCTTCTTTTTCTCCTTGTAGTCTTTCTTGGCCTTCTTTTCCTCCTCGTCATCATCACTTGAGCTCGAGCTACTGTCGTCGGCCTCTCCAGGGAAGTGATATTCGACAATGACAACAATCTTGTTGCCGAGTTCCTCCAGACGGACATGGTTGGCCTGGCCCTCTTGCTCGGCGTGGCCTTTTTCTCTGATGGCTTGGCTAAGAAGGCGATCTCCAAAGACCTCTCTCATGATGAATGCCAGGCGCAGTTGACCCTCAGGGTCACAGTGATTCTCGAGAGACAGAAGGATTGGCGCAGCGGGATGTGGTTCCTTGGCTTCTTGGTCGACGACATCTCGGATGGTCTCGCAGACGGTGCGGAAAGGGATGTTGGAGACGAGGGTGTATCCGTGGGTGACCTTGGGCTCGTCCTTGTTGTCGGGGTTATCCCAGGCATCGATCTCGACGCATCGCGCGCCAGCACGCAATGTCTCGTCATAGGCCTCTGCCGAAGAGCTTCCATAAAGCTGGTGGGCCAGAAGGTAGGTGTTGTGGCTGGAGCTGATGAAGTACTCGGGCAATGGGTGGGATCTATCAGTAAGCTCGCGGGGCACGCTGATGTGAGGCTTGTACACGAGGGCTTGCAACTCGGGGGTGAGCTGTTCTGAGTCGACGTTTGCTTCCTTGGAGGAGATGGCCTTCTGATCGACAAGGAAAGACTTGATGGCACGGCTCACGCGGAGACGGTGCTTAAGGTCTGAGTCGCGTGCAGCGTGGCCTCCGCCAGCCAAGGTGGTGTTGTCGGTCGCATCGCCGAGCTCCTCTTCATCCTCTGGCGCCGATTTGGAGAAGGGATTGAGGTTGGCAAACTTTGAAGTTAGTGAGGCCATTGCTGGTGACGTTTCCGCGGCGGTTGTCTCTCTAGATTGCCTCTTCCGGACGTGAGGATAATGGTTCTGACCCCAGATGTCCACTAGGTACGCGGGGTATGTGTAGATATTAAAGGGAGAGAGATTGAGATGGTCGCAAACAGGAATTCCGGCAAGATGATGGCGGGAAACGACGACGTCAATCTTGGCTGATGCACGCCGCGTAAGGTAGCAGCAGCGCAACAGCAGGTGGCAGGAACAAGCTGTGGAATGGAGTTGCCCCTCCTTCCCGTCAGCTCAGCTCCTGCTGCCACACCTGCCGCACCTTCTCCGATGGAGGGGCTGCGGAGTGGAGACGCTAAGATTAGATTGGCGGGGAGCTCAAGCAGCTTTGACGAATTGAATTTCAGTCTCTCTCCCTTATTTGGCTAGAGGCTTGCTTACATAAGCTCCGACACTCAGTGTTCCCTTAGCTTGGACCCCACAGCTCTTGGTCCAGTTCGCCTCAACACATGAACACCACCATCAGATGGTGCTTGATCATCGGCCTCGATTGGCTTCTAGCACATGGACTACCCATTATCTTGCCCGGTATCTTCATGCCTGCCTGGAAATCGACTGCCAAAACGGTGTCTGACATTTTTTTCGATGGCACTCTGGACCCGACAATGCTCTCCATGGCTTCAAGTTGGAGAATCCGAGCTCAACCATTCGATCATTTCTTGAATAATGTCAGACGACGCTCCGAGCAGTGAATACAACCAATCAGACCTGAAAGACACTTTCAATTCGGGGGTGTTCGAGGAGAAACAAAGATTACTGCGATACCACCCGAGCTCCCTGACGACAGCGTCGTCAGCGTTCCAAGCCAAGCCGGTTCTCTCACCGGAATCATTCTCCACCTCGGCGACTCTTTACCGGCTGGGCATCTTGGGAGCCGGGCGGCATCTGGAAGCATTCATTCAGCCTTGTGGGTCCGCCCATGCTGCAAGGTGAAGCTCCTCCGAGGCTGTCGTTTCCGCCCCCAAACCCCTTGCTACACCCCTAGACCTCGTGGCATATCCTTCTGCCTCCAACCTGGATTGAACACCAAGGACTTCGTCGACTACTGGCATCAGCTGGTGGCCATGCGGTGTACCGAACATATCTGAAAATGCTAGGCAGAGTTCTGCGCGACCCTCCTCCAATACAACCCCACGCTTGTTCCGGAGACAGCTAGCTGCTTGTTAGTTACCCCAGCATATGGATTTGTCTCGCCAGAGTTGGTACCGACCGGCAATAATTACTCGACTGTGGTGCCCTTCTGTCTCATACCATACTTCTCGGCTCTCTGGTGTCAAAATCGCACATCAAGGCCTCATCATCTTTGACTCACTCGAATTCGCATTGACAAGCTCTCCGCCTCGTAGACTGTGTCCTCTAAGGACCGTCACTTTAGGTAGTAGACAGATACAACTTATAAGCATCGGGCCTGGTATCTACCTCAAGTAGTAACATATCGGCCGACGGAAAGGCCTTTAGGCGGGCGAGACCGTTTGGAAATGTCTCAGTCCTTATTCCTGTCTGCGGCCGCAAACGATATCATGAGCCTGGGGATTTAACGCATTCCTCATCAAACATTGGCAGGCGAACCAAATGCAGCTCGGAGGGTTATTGACCTGGCGATGCATGTGCGAAAAAAAAGCACTATCGAGAGGGCTAACGCAAACGCACGGAGCACTACTGCAAGGGTAACAAGCATCTCGATGGGGCCATGGAGGAGTCTGGACGGGCAGCTAGACAGCTTCCCGAAAGCTGCCTCCCTGCCGCTGGCGTCATCATCAGCTTACCCTACACTCCGTCAAAGACTGATTGATGCGCGCGAGGAGTCTGCCTGACTGACTGCCTGCCTGTATGCCTCCCTCGTCGCCAGGAAGAGAGTGAGGAGGTTGGAGTCGAATCCATCGTCCGACACACCGCCAAAAGGCTGTACGTGGACAGCGCGGCACCGACAGAAAACAATCAGTTCTGTCGCGTCATTTGATGGACGAATGCACGGGATACATTCAGGACAACACACCTCGCCTTCGACACTCGGGTCAGAAATAGCTGGAAGGACGTTGGATCGGCATTGGAGGGTTGCGGGATGGGCGGCCTGCGCCTCCGTGAATGCGGTCGCTGGTCGTACGGCATGCGGGGTCCAACAGTCTCTCGCAGATTCGCGCACACACTTCTTCTGTTTCTTCTCTGGATGGCACACTGACACACTGGTGTTGGGCCTCCAGCATTGGTGTGTCCATCTGGTGCTACACGGCAACATCCAGTCATCCAGGGTGTTCCCAAGACCAGATTCACCCAGTCTGTAGAGATGACTGGTCCCTCGTACGAAAGTGCCTCCAGCCTATGGCGTGCTGGAGTTTGAGGGAATAAGCTTCTCGGAGGGTTGAGCCATGACGTCGAAAGACTGCGGCAAAGTTCTTTTGGGAAGATTTGGGATGACTGGATGCTGTCTGGCGTCGGTGCTTGTGGGCGCTTGCTCGCTGCCAACGCTGCTGGTGCCGCAAATGGGCATGTTCGATTTTGGCCGCATCAAGCAGCTTCCCACCCAGCGCAGCGATCGGCACCTTTGGGTCCCTTGGGGTCTCCTTGGAGGGGCGACGAACGGCGCCACACCCTCCCTCTTCCCGTTTTTCTTCTTCCCAACTCTCGCTCTCTTTCTTTCGTCTATTACTTATTCACATGTGAAGCCAGACGCCTTCTCATCAATGTTCATACACTGATTGCTAAACAAATTCTATTCCAACGGTCGGAAGCGATCTGGTGTTGTTGCGCGCTCGTTCGTCTTCAAAAGCTCATCATGGGGGTCAATCCAGGCGTAGTGTTTCTACTGGTAAGCCCCACGGCCGGCATCCACTAACACCATTTGAAACCGTGAACGATATCAGGTAATATCTAACCAAAATACTTCTACAGATCTGTATCGGACTGCTGACGACGGCCATGTGAGTTCTCAAACATCACCGACCGCAAATTTCTCTGCTAATCATTTCACAGCGTCGTTCACGTAACGAGCACCAATCTCGCCCTTCCCATCTCGCCGTTCTTGTCTCTGCTTCCGATTCTGCTACCCATCCTCGGCACTATCAACGCATTTTACTACCCGCGCCTGCTATTCAATGCGAGCAACTCTCTCGCTCGGACCGAGCAGCTGTTTCCTACCATTATCCAGACACTTCAAGGCATCTTGACCACCGCTGTCGCCGTTATCCTGTTGCAAACCGCTCTTCCCGGCGATGGCCTAAACTGCGCCCTGTCTACCAGCTGGCAGCGCATGTTTGTCGCCAAGGATGAGTCGACCATCAGGCGCATCCAGGATAGCCTTAATTGCTGTGGCCTGAACAGCGTCAAGGACCGCGGTTGGCCATTCGGTGCTAATGCCCGGTGCGCCGAAATTACTGGTCGAGATACTGCCTGCATCGGACCGTGGAGGGACGCAACGGTGCGGAATTCCTCCATCGACTTAGGCATCGTCATCACCGTGGGTGTGCTACAGGTATGTCCGATATAGATATATAGCAGGCCACAGCCGTTCCGGGCTAATCAGACATTCGTCACAGGTTCTGACGCTGCTCTTTATGCAGAGTGCCAGCAACTGGAGACACGCATGGTGGGCGCAACCCTGGAGCCACCTCTCAGAGCGTCCTATCGAAGAGCGCCAGCGCAGACCTCTTCTCACTGCTACAATCTCCACGCACTCAGCGCATGACAGTGGTGAGGAATCTGAAGACATTGTGAGATACAGCGACCTGAACCCTCATTATGGCACCACGGGAGAGGGACAACGGGGCCGTATTCGCACTGGATCCAACAGGACTGAGCCCTCTTCGCTCAGAAATGTCGAAAATGCCGAAAACGCATGGAGAGACGTGTAGTTCTCATGCCCCACGCCTTCATCGATCCAAAAATCCCTACACCTTACCAACGACGACACGATTCTCCTTCAAAAATCATTTTACCCTCTTTTGCATTGCGAGCGAGAATGGTTTGCTACCCGGGATTTGGAAGCCGGGGAATAGTTCGGCGGAGTTCGGGTTTGGCCGGTTTGTGTTTTAGTGGCCATAGTCTTTTTTTTTCTAGGAGGGTTCCCTTGTCTGCCTTTTCTTCTTTGGGGTTGGCTCAAATAACTATTGGAGTTGGTTCGAAATTTCGTTCATTGACGCCGCTTGTTTTGACATGCCTGCGAGTAAAAGAGCTAGATCACGGCCTGCCATTGTGAACCTGAGGTCGATGGTTTGAGCGAATTACCGCATCGACACGACGGAACACCGACGCGAAGGAACCACTTACCGAATAGTATCATGCCGTTTCGCCAGTGCCTCCAGGAGGTCTGGTCTCGGTTCCAGCCCGCCGAGTCCCACGAACACCTTTCGTCCATCTACGCTCGCCTTCTCTGCTGCCTTGGCGATTTTGGCAACGGTAGAGTGGAAGATTTCCGAGTCATATTGCCCAGGGACTGCGAGCCTGGGATAACCAAACGTCAGCTTCAGTCTCGAAATGTCATACATCGGTCCTCTTCTACGGCAGAATAGGGGTTGACCTACTCCATGCAGAGATCTGCGCAGCCGACGAACAAGGCATCGATGCCCGGCACGGCGGCGATGGCTCTGTGATTTTGATTAACCCCAACAACTCCCACATGGGATTCTTCTCCCGTTGTGTGAGACTGTGGGTACTCACTCTACGTTTTCAACACCTTCTCTGATCTCGATCATGGCCATGATGAGGACATCGTCGTTGACCACCTCGGCGATGGCCGCGTAGGATAGCGTCGTCGTGTACTGGGTCATTGCTGTGACAATGGGTACGGAGTAGTGGCCCTACATATGATCCTCATGTGTAAGCCTAAAGTTTCGTCGCACTTTCACTGCAGGGTACAGGTCAGGCGGGAAATGGCAACGCACAAGAGGTGGGAACTTTGATGCGTTGACGCACATTTTTGCTTGCTTGACGGTGTTTACGTACGGTACGATGATGGCTTGGGGCCCCGGAGTCGAGGCAGCGGGAGATCCATTCGGGGGCGCACGTTGGGACGACTACAGTTGGTGTGATGCTTTTTCTTTTGCCATGGTCAGTACCTACGTCAGGGTAGGTTTCTCTGACTGGCCTTACCCAACATTCAGACATGAGACTGCGATATCCTTCATGGTCTCCATGCTAATGGCCATGTGCTCGAGGTTCATGAGCACGGCCGAGTAGCCTGCGCGCTTGGCGACGAGGGGCATCTCGGTGGAGAAGGCGACGCGGAGGCCAAAGGAGTGGGCGAGTTTGTTTTGGAGCATGAGGTTTGGGCGGCAGGCTTCGCGGGCGAGGGTGAGTTGCTGTGAGTGGTTTGTGGGCGAGGACATGTTGGGCAGTTGGGAGGGGGGTTGGCTGCGTGGATGGTGTACGAGAGGACGCGTGTGATGTCTTGGGGATGTCGAGATGCTGGAAACTTGATTCTCAAGGGAATGATTTGGTATAAGCGATGTTTGATGGTGTTGCGGGTAGGTTTACTTGATCAAAGAATGGTATCGAGAAAGTTAGCAGCTTGCGTCTGGATAATCTGAGTTGCACTGGTCTCTGACAAGCTTGAGACGGTCCTGACTTACACCACCCCGCCTATCCCATCATCCCGAAAGTCAGCTCCCAGCGCCCGATTTACTGGCTGGAGCGGATGGTCCTTATCCGGGAGTGGCAGGTATGGCTACCAATCAACTTGTGTCCCTAGTGCCGTGATGGCGGAAACTGACTAGAGCGGAATAGGAACGCGCTTTGGTTCGAAAGCTGGATTTCGGCATCTTGGTTTGCGCCACTCCTGGCTGGGTAAGTTCAGCACTGGGTTGTGTTCGGTTCGTCGGTGGCTAACTTGATGAAGTGGATGAAATACGTTGATCAGAGCAACTTCACGAACGCATGTAAGTTGATCAACTCTGCGATGGAGGTGAAAATGGGGCTTGCTAGAATCTCACAGACATCAGCGGGATGAAAGAGGACTTGGATATTCAAGAAAACGAGTACACTTACATGCTCAGTAAGTTGCTTCCTGAAACGATGAGAGGCAAGTACTTGGTGGGTGCGGACTGACAGAGCAACAGTGTACTACACCATTGCCTTTGCTATCATGCAAATCCCGTCAAACTTGATCGCACTCAAGATCCGTCCTCACTACTGCATCGTGTTCTGCGAACTGGGATGGACGGCTTTTACGTATGTCAGAATTTGAGATAGCATGGATCGAGAACATTGCTCATTATATACAGCTTCGCCCAAGCCGCGGCCCAGAGCAGCAACCACATGTACGCCTTCCGCTTCATGATCGGTCTCTTCGAATCCGGCTTCTCGCCCATCATCATCTTCCTCCTTGAATCTTGGTACACCAAGCCCGAGCTCGCGAAGCGCGTGGCCGTCTGGCACATTGCGGGATTCTTTGGACAGGCGACGTCTGGATTCTTGCAGGCTGGGATCCACAAGTCTTTGAACGGGCATCTGGGGATGGCGGGTTGGAGATGGATGTATATCGGTAAGTGCCCCTCAAATCCTGGGGTACGAGACTTGGTTGGCTCTTGGCAGTCGGGAGAGAAAGTAAGCTGATCCAGTGAGAACGCAGTTTGCGGCTGTATGTCACTTCCCGTTGCTCTCTCCGTGTGGTGGCTGCTTCCTGATTACCCGCATAACACGACCGCGTGGTATATCACGGAAGAGGACAAGCAAATTGCGATGCAGCGCGCGGCGAAGCAGGGTAAGGCGGAGATCACGGGAGTTGTGGACATGAAGCTACTCAAGCGCATGTTTGGGAACTGGCGATGGTGGATCTTGTGCTTGATGTATATCTTCGTAAGTTGCCCGCCATCCTCGAAGCCGTTGAGGTCCCTCGTATTGTATGTCGACCTCTCTTACACTTACTTGTTTGACAGTACGGCAACTCGTGTCAGGCCAACAACTACTTTGCCATCTACCTTCGTACGACGAGCCCCTCCCAGTTTCTCACGTTCATTAAACATCGACTGACACGATGTAGGCGAGAACGGATACAGTGTCACACAACGTAACGTCATCCCGGCGTGCGTCAACCTCGTCACTATAGTCACGGACTTTGCGTGGGGCTTCATGTCGGACCTGACCGGCAACAGAACCTTGTGGATCATTGGTCCTCTTGTAAGTGACGCCCCCGTTCTAGAAGTCTTTGGCGAGGTTTGCTGACGGGCGGCGGGCAATCCCAGATGAGCACAACTGTTGTTGGCTCTTCAATACTTACAGCGTATTCGCCGACGGATGCTGCGCGAGTAGCCCGGTTTCTTCCTCGTGTCTTGTGATTATGTTACGGCTGTTCTTTGGGTAGGACAGCGTTGGGGTGCATATGCTAGCAAAGTAAGTGGTGAAACTAACTGCAATACAGACGTGGGCGAATGAGGTGAACAATGGGAACGCGGAAGAGCGTGCCTTGACTATCTCCAGCATGAATGGACTATTCTACGCGACCAGTGAGTCAAACCTAAGGGGCAACAGACCTTTTCCTCGCCAATTGACTAACGATGTAGACTCTTTCTTGCCTATTCTCATCTTCCCGCAGACCATGGCACCCACCTTTGAGCAAGGCTTCCCCTCTATCCTATCATTCGCGCTCGCGGCCGTGATTTTAGTCCGTAAGTTCCCCTATTTTAACAACCCCAAGTGCGACCTTCAGGACAAACTGACAGGGAACCCTTCCAGTCATTGCGGATTTCTTGCACAAGCGTCAGCTGCGACAAGAAGCAAAAGCTGCTGGCGAACAGTCTGCTTCCGAAACTGTCGTGGAGGGAGAAGTGAACAAGAAGGAGAAGGAAATGGAGGGAAGACTTTCTGGGGATATCGAGCTAGTTAGGAACTCTTCCAGTATCATTTGACTAGCAAAGGTTGGAGGCGTAAACCCAGGATTGGACGTGCGTGGTGCGCTGACAAACAGCGTCGCAGACAAGGAAGATATGCACGGATTCTATACCGCCTCTCTGCCTGGAGGCACTGGCGCATACGACTTTAGTAAGAGCACCTTCCCCGCGGACATTGTAAAAATGGGTATCATGTGGCAGGTACAGCCAATCTGGGCTACGCAGGGCTTGAGCCTGCATGCCAAGCAGTTTGCGGAGAGATTCAAATAGGAAGAGATTGCCGATTACATGCGGGACGTGGCTGCTCCCGCGATGGAGGGCATGGCTACCGATAAGTATGGGAAGCCAAATTCACCTGGCGGATACCTCGCCGATGCGTTCTCTGATGTTGTTGGATGAAGGGAGATCACGAAGCGCGCCTGAGAGGGGAAGTTGACTTGGCTGCTGTTGTGCTTCAATACGTATGCGCTGTTACGCTCCGGGGAAAGAGCGACAGCGGACTATCATCTATCATCGGCCAATTAGACATGCTGTGTTTGCACTAGATATTATCATGATATCAGTAAACAAGTTTTGCGAATTGCCTCCATTCCTGACCAATTATATGACCTCAGTATGCTGATGGCTGAAGTGATATGTTCAGTCGTCCACGTGTGGCTGTGTTACACGAAATGTGAGTGAGAAATAAGGCTCTTGACACGAGAACTTAATCTCTCCTCATACGTATGATTTGCATATAATGTTTCACAACACGGAGAGTAAACGACCCGCGTCGAACGAGAGGCTGTTACTACCGCCTCCCAAGGGCGGATATTTGAACTCCCTTTCCCTTCATGTTTTGTATTATCTAACCACTTCTTTAACCTACACTGAGTCATTAACTAAAGGAAATTCATCAAGAAACTCACTATGGAATCTCTCGGCGGCAAGTATGCATCTTCGGCCTGTACGTCGATGTCTATGGTCTTGCTCGTATTCACCTTCATCTCTATTGTCCTCTATCTACTAGTCTCCCACATTCGGCAAAACTCACAGCTAAATATGAAGAAGACCCTTTCTTTACCCCCAGGACCGCCTCGATTGCCAATTTTCGGAAATTTCTTCAATGCGCCAGAGGTATGCTTCAACTGGTTGACCCATTACCAATGGAAGTACTTGTACGGACCAATCATGCATTATGAAAAGGGAGGCCAGTCTCACATCGTCCTTACAACGGTCGAAGCGGCTCACGATCTTTTGAACAAGCGAGCAAGCAATTATTCAGGACGCACATTCAGTCCTTACGCAGGAGAGCTCGTTTGTAACAACTACAACATTCTCTTTCTACAGTACGATACCCAGTTCCGGCTCCATCAACGGCTCCATGCTAAGGGACTCAACCCTCGCTCCGTGGCGCCGTACCATCCTCTGATAGAGTTGGAATCGCTTCAGCTGCTGAACGATCTGTTGTCAGAGATACAAGAGAAAAGCAGCGAGAAGCAAATGGGAGCTGCTGTAAACCCTCACTGGCACTTCCGACGCGCAGCCACCAGCAACGTGAGCATGATAGCTTGGGGCTATCGGCTGCTGAGAGGCAATCCCGAGCATGAAGCACAAATCAAATTCTTCGACGTCGCCCCGACCTCGGTAGTCTTGAAGACTACGCAAACATGGTACGATATCTTCCCTTGGCTAAAACATCTTCCTTACGCCATTTCTCCGTGGAAACGGGCAGCAAAGGTCCTCTTCGAGCGCGAGGAGGCTCATTACTTGGGCAATTTTCGCAGCGCACTCAAAAGACCTGGTTATAACCTGAGCAAACAAATTGCCGACAGCACTGATACCTCGGATATGGGCATGTGCGAGACCGAGCAGGCGTGGGTTGTTGGAACGTTGACATTAGCCAACGGTGATACCAGCGTCGCCACTCTGTGTTGGTTCGTCGTTGCCATGTTGACGTATCCGCATGTCTTTGGCAAGGCTCAGGCCATGATCGATGAAGTCGTTGGTCATAATCGCTTGCCTGCTTTCGAAGACCGGGAGAAGCTGCCATATGTCGACGCGATGATCGAGGAAGTCATGCGGTGGCGACCTATCCTACCAGCTGGGCTGGACCATGCGGCCGTTGAGGAAGATGAGTACAAGGGATATAGAATTCCGGCGGGAGCGACGATAATTCACTCCCAGTGGGCGATTACGCGGGACAAAGAGGTGTATGGCGCGGACTGCGACGACTTCAGGCCGGAGAGATGGATCGAGAATGGAGACCTACCCAGGACCGCCTTTGGATACGGAAGACGACTTTGCCCAGGCAGGCATGTAGGCAGAGAAGGTCTATGGATATTGTTTGCCCGGCTCATTTGGGCATTTCGTCTTGAGCAAACAACGGATCCGGTCACACTGAAGAAGAAAGTGGTTGATCCGATGTCCATGATGCCGGCGGGCTTCGTTATTGGGCCAAATCCTTTTGAAGCATTGTTCATTCCTAGGGGTCCATGGGTTGCGGGCCTTGTACATCAAGATCTTCAAAGTGCAGAGAAGGATGTTGGAAAGATCATGGAGCAGGTGGACACGGATAAGAGGCTCTAGTTGCTTCAAGATGAGTTGCAAGTGGTCTTGGCTTACCGAAGATTGTGGGTGTGTCATTTTTAACTCGTTTTCACATCGTTTGATTGCTTTCATTCTCCATCCTAGCTTATCTATCAACCACAAGATGATAGAAAGCGACAAAGGCCCAAACAATTACTAGGTCTTAACGATTGGTGTACCATCCTTAGCCGCTAGCATTGACAGTTGCGGGGTGCATTGAAGCAATTTGGATGTATGTCTTCCCCATGGGGTGAGAGTGGTCCTTGTTTGATGTTGGCCCGATTTTCCGGCTCAATTGAACCGAGATATTGAGTGCCGCTGACGGCCGAGCTGTGGAAGCGTTGATTCGGAATGAGTGGCTCGGGCAACCATTTGACGTTCAGCGACAACTATTCGGGTACCCACTTTGCCGAGTCTAGGTAGGTGTTATTACTCCTCCAATGGCAGTCGGACGTCGGAGGGTGTGCCGTGGTTGCGTGACATCAGGCAAACCGCCCGTGTCATTTACTGAGCTGTAAACCTGGAGAGACTGCGGCATCAAGACAATGAGCCTGGCAACGACGGAAACGGAGTGGACTAACGGGAGTTCGGACTGAGTTGAGGCAATTAAAGTGAACGGCGTCAACAAGCCTGTGTGCGTATAGACAAAGTCAGTATAATCTAGTAGCTACTTATACAGCTCATTCCTCGGTCAATCCAGGTAGGTTTAAGTGATTCAAGGACAACAGCACGGGTTGAAACGTCCATATTACTCATCAAAGGTGTCTCGAAAGGCCGAAATTATGAAGTTTCTCAACCTTCTCTCAGCGTCTTTCGCTCTTTCTAGTGCCTTCTTGACACAAGCGGCCCGGCCCTTGGAAAATCTTGGCCGAGGCGTCGTTGCTGTGCGCGCAAGCGACGAAGCCATCTTGGTCACCTGGCGTCTTCTTGGACTGGATCCATCAGGAATCGGCTTCAACGTCTATCGTGACACGGCGACTTCCCCGACAAAACTCAACGACAAGATCCTCACGAGCGGCACCAATTTCCTTGATTTTACCGCTAATCCGGATGAAATCAATACCTACTTCGTACGGCCCGTCATTGACGGCAAAGAACAAGATGCTAGCGGATCTTTCAGTCTACCTGCCAAGAATGCGGTCGAGCCGGTTGTCCGGATCCCTATCCGCAGCGGTGGCGCTGTCAAATTCGTCTGGGTTGGTGATCTTGACGGAGACGGCGAGTGGGACTTTGTTCTCGACAGACAGACTTCACCCCAGACTATTGAGGCTTACACCGGTAATGGGACTTTTCTCTGGGAAGTCAATCTTGGTCCAAATAGCGAGAATCAAAACAACATAGAGCCGGGATCATCGACAATTGACGTTGGCCATTGGGATGGTGTCACTGTTTTCGACTTCGACAGTGACGGACGCGCCGAAGTTGCGATTCGTATTGCCAATGGAGTTGTGTTTGGGGACGGGAAGACATTCGGCGATGGGGAAACGAATAACCACCAGTCCATGGCTATTCTTGACGGGCGCACGGGAGCTCTTCGCGCCTTCGCCCCAGTTCCTACGGATTACATTGACGACGGACCGCTCGCCGCCCGCCTCGGTGCCGGGTTTCTGGACGGAGAGACACCTCATCTCGTTGCGTACATGAAGAACCGCATTGGGTCTGGTGATTTCAACTTGATGTATGTGACCTGGACCTTTGACGGCACATCTCTGAAGCAGAAGTGGAAGTGGAACCGGGGCGACAAAAATTTCCCCGACGGGCATAACACGCGCATCATTGATCTCGACGGGAACGGAAAGGATGAGGTCCTTGAGATCGGCTTTGCCTTGAATGGAGATGGCACGGAGAGGTACACCCTCGGGGATCAGGGTATCATCCACGGCGATCGATTCCATCTCGCCAAGATTGACATGGATCGTAAAGGGCTTCAGGGGTACGGCGTGCAGCAGCGAAACCCAGATCTGATCTACGAGTACTACTACGATGGCTCATCTGGCGAGATCATCTGGAAGCACGTCGGCAACAACGTGACCGACGTTGCCCGCGGCATGGTCGGTGACATTGACCCAACCCATCCGGGCATGGAAGTATGGTCGTTCTCAGGAGTTTACAACGCCAAAGAGAATGAGCTCACAGAGTCGGACACTGAGCTCGCCCCTTGGCCCCATCTTGGCCTTTGGTGGGATGGGGACGAGCTGCTCGAACTTTTCAATGATGGAAAGTTTGAGAAGTGGGATTGGGAGAAGCCTAGCGCCTCCAGCAGTCTCCCTCGCATCTTGAGAGTCAGCGACTTTGGCGGAGTCACTGCCGGGAGATATCCCAACTTCATTGGTGACATTCTCGGCGACTGGAGAGAGGAAGTCATTGTCACCAATGAAGCTTCCGATGAGTTGCTCATCTTCACAACGGACAAGCCGAGCGATATCCGCTTGTATACTCTGGCTCATAATCCTGCATACCGCAATGCAATGACTCTGAAGGGATACATGCAATCTCATCACGTTGACTACTATCTTGGAAAAGACATGAAGACACCACCGCAGCCGAAGATTCGATATACATTCGCTGGGTAGAGGGAATTACAAAAAGGGTGAAGTGAGAATTATGACCGACATAGGTACTTCTCGCCATTGGGTCCGAATTGATTCCTCGTTTTCTGTTGGTCTACTGGTGTGTGAGGAGGTATGAAGATTCCTAACATAGGTCGTGAATGTGTCCGCCTATAGCCCAATACGATATTTTCTGGTGTTTCAATCTGTCATTACGCTTTGGTAAAGTTCCTGAAGTCATCGATGCCCATCCTTCTCCGTCTTGCTTATGTGTCCCAAGATCGGAAATTCGTTGCCTTGAGAGACATGCAGAGCGAACTAAAGGAAAGGGTGATATCTCAATCACAGCCATTTTTGACTCTTACAAATAATCGTGAAGATGTGACTAAGGCAACATTTTGACATTACAATATATCCTACATGACCTGACTGGATTTATCAATAGACACGCCCTGAAATCTGTGGTAAGCCATTGTTGGGCGTGTCGGTGATGAATAGGATGTAGTCTGCACTCCATTCTCGAGCTGCAGTCCCTGTATGATCTGTTGTGGGACGATGTTGTTCGCTTCCTCGAGCCGAGCCTTCCTGGCAAGCCAAGTTAAGGTTGGCTTCAATGCCCACATGATGAAAGCCACAGCCGACGCCAAGACTGTGAAACACAACACAGGATGCCCAAAAACGAGACCAGCCTGCATAATGGTCCCTGCCACGGCGAAAGGCGATATGAACTGCAACTAAACATCGCACGTTGCAGTCAGTACGTACTTATTTTGAGTCTTTTCTCAAGCAAAAAATGGTGCAGGCTACTTGATGTGCAAGTCGGGAAGCTTACTATTGTGACGTTCCAGTATTGCAGGACGATTGCGCGGTTATCCCCAACTGCAACATGGAGACCGAGCTGCCGAGAACATTTTGTTAACTCGCGAACGGAATGACGAATGGTATGGGTTGGATCTCGACATACTTTCTTTTCGAACCTTTCGACTTTGACTTTAAGTTCCTCCATTTCTTCTCGGATCGCCATAAGTTCATCTAGAGATCGACTGATCTCGTAGAGTGAGTCATTCATGTGATTGAGTCCATCTTCGCTCGATTGACACACGATACGGCTGGCGTCCTGGTCGAAAAACTTATTCCATGCCTTGATTGTCTTAGTGAGAAGGAGAATCCATTGGATAACAAGGTCACTAGTTTGTCCAAGCCATGCCTCACTTGCTTCAATGGCGTACGATTCACCTCGCATGGTGCCAAGTGAGGACTCTCTCCGAGTCAAAGGTATGTGCGGACTAGAGAGCTTGTATACGCTTATGTTAGCAATGAACGGGTCACATATGGTACATCAAGGTACAAAATCATGGCACGGAGTGATGACTCTTGACGATTCGGGTTGTGATCCAGGACAGACCATCATACACATATACTGTAGATATCGAGGAATGGTGGGATTTTGCCACTTACATATTCGTCAATCATGTCTTTCAGCTTAAAAAGGACATTCATCCAATGCTGAGTGATCCTTGCGACGTGAAACTTTACTACCAAAAGAAAGTATTCACGCGGATCCGTGACCGACACATTGTCAGCTGTTAAATTTGCAATGCTAAGTGCGTCAAGTTCGCAACTAGTCATATCTAGGTCAGGATATGGGTCGGCGACATAAAACGGTAGCAAGTATTCGTTGTTTGGGTCGCTATCGTCTTCAAAGTAAGAATCCATGAGGCCGATTGCTGTCCAGTGAGATGTATCACGTCCAGTAACACAGATAGAAGTTTGAGCCTCGTGTAAGTAGTCCGAGCCATGTGCGATCCGGCCCGACCTTGCAGCGCCTGGTAGAAAGGATAAATCTGTGGACTTGCGTAAAGGTAGACCGTCCCCAGTAACGCGCTGATCTCTTCGTGGAGAGGGTTCCCTTTTCCAGACGGGGTAAGCCAAGTGGAACTCCAGAGTGAAGCCACCGTCAATCTGTTTATTACCGTGAGCAACACGAAAAGCTACGTCTTATGAATTCTTGGGAATGGTCTCACCACAGTGTCAAGGCCGATGGATGTTTTGGCTGTGAGATGCTTGAACATGAAGTCTCTGATGACTGGGGCTTGGTGATCAGGGGCTCTGACAGCTAGAACTCCAAGTGTCCATTGACAGGGGTTGTTGATACAGCTGATATTGAGTCAATTACCGCACGATTGCACCTCTTCGGGCAGGCTCTTACATCTTGCGGGTATCAGCATTTGAAATATCCTTTTTACCGATTGGCTAAAGAAGAATTAGTACAGAAATACTGATATGACATTGGAGCACGAATAAAAGGAGCAGAGTTGATGCCAAGGTCAGTCTCCAATCCTCAAAGATCTGAGTCAATTCTCACCTGTGAATCGAGGTGGCGATCGAAATCCAAAAGTGAGAGCGATCCATTATAACTCCTTGGTTTGTTTGAGAGATCTCGATCATGAAGCCATGCTGCCAAGTTACTTGGCATTTCGAAATTGCCTTCGCAGATTCTTCTCAAGATCGTTTCGTCGAGAACATTTTGGAAGACTGGCAACTCGTACTCAAGCCGAGGTGAATAGTCAGGGATATTGAGGAAGGTGGAGAGGAGACTAGGGTTTGTTCCTTCATCTTCAAAGCGTCTTTGGTCTTTGGTGTGTAAATCAATGCGGGAGATCTCGGGGTTCCGTCTTGTCATTGGACGATTCCACTGGACAGGTCGACGTGGGAACGGCCGTGATGCTGCTCGATCCATTGTGAAAACGTCATTTTCAGGTGATTACGCTGCAAGTATATCTGTTTCTCCATGACTCGAGAATCATTCCTGAGATGTGAGGAATTATAGCCATATTTAAGTCCGGAGTGGGCAGAAGCCAACCAAGCCAGTCATTGCCCGATGAAAAAGATCGTCCGGATTCTCTTTCCTCTCAGCGGCTCAGTTCAATCCAAAAAGAGGGTTGTCCAACCGATGCAGAAGCATCTTGGTGTATCTGAATGCATTTTCGCAATCTCTTTAGCCAATCAGGTTCACTACGAACGCGGTGCAGAACCTGCGCCACCATCCCTGCTGCCTTTGCTGCATTCGTTCCCGAAACCCAACCCGTTGGGCATGATCGCGAGCGTTGAGAGGCACCAATAGGCTTGATGTTGTCGAAAGGTGTGCCCTTCATGCAGTTCTGATTGCTTGAAATACTTGCGGGTGTTACCGACAGCCCTGAGAAAATTAAGCGGTGCATTGGCCGAATTAATACTCGGACATCTTCTTACGCCTCATATTTAACGGTGAGGAGAGCCGAGTTTTCGGCAGCTTTCAACTTCGAAGGCAGCGACTTGCTGATTCTTCATTTGTCTGATCTTGAGCATGACTCTAGTCAAGGCGAACAAGGCAGCCGCGCTAACATTCATTGCGACGAACGGAACTCTTCCACGACATCTTCGAAATTGACGCGCATGCTTAAGTGGCATATGTCAGCTTTCTTCCGATGCTGCTATTTGTTCTCGTAGTACCCCATGACACCCTGAACTTGCGCCTTTTATTAATTACCAATGAAGTCTGGGTTCACAAGGAACTAGCGCCATTGCTTTCTCTCATCTTGATATTACCTATGAATCTGGCTCTGCTTGATTTTGTGTTTTTGACAGTTTTAGGTTTCCTAGCCATGAATAGGAAACATAGTGGCAAGAGCTGTTCCAAGGCGCCTATGACGGATTGCTTCATCAACCTAAGCTAGTGACTCGTCTTGTTCCAGAGTCTCAGGCGCTCGCCAGTGTCAGACTGCCTAAAAAGTCCAGGCAAGAGAATCAGGACGTGAAACCTGTGACATGGAAGCAGCGCAACCTTCGGGAACTTGCATGGTTGGACATCGGCAGCCCTGGGGTACTGGGCCAATACCTGAATGCATGATGCCGCGCCATCATCTCGCAGTCGTCGGAAGGACATGTATGCAACTGTCATGTATAGTATAAGGTGCATTAGTTGATTAGCTACGACAAAAGTGTGTTGTGGAATGCATATCGTAGCCAAGTTGAGGTGGGACATGTTAAGACTCGCAACATTGCCTTGACAGGAGACCATCGGACCCACGCGCACTACCTGCGGGATCGGCCGAAGACTGTTAGCGCAGCGCCACTTAAACGCTGCATTCCAATGCAAATTCACCCGATATCTTTTGCCGGTCCTGTCTACTCTATTTGAACAACGCCTCTAAATGACTAAGGTATAATGCGTGGATAAATGAGAGGCAGAGTGCCTTCGGACTTTCCCCAAATGTGGGATGTCCTTCTGCCAAATTTCAAGAGTGTGCTTTCGAGGGGACAGTCGTTGCTGGAGTCGCCGCTCGTCTCTCATTAAATCCCTGCTCATCCCACTCAGCATAGCATGCTTCAGCCCACCCTGCTTCATTCCACCTTTGCTCGTCCTCTTGCACCATCGTATCCAAGACGCCAGCGCATGATAATGGTGAGGTGAGTAAATGATTCCTAATGCCTTGATGGAACACGACTTTATCGGTGTATATAAGCCACCAAAGCTCTCCCGGCCGTGAATTACACTGGTGTGTGGCATGGAAGAAGTCAGGTCTCAAGCAGGAGATCGGACTAGCGACGACAAGTAAAGATACGTTGTTGACCTCAAATTCTGATTTTCGCGACCGGGCAATACGCGCAGCGCGGGCAACCACATGCGCCGCAGCTCTCATGACGGATAGCGTTGCCAGTTTGCCCGCAACGACACTACATTAGCCACTGGTGAGCATTGTTCAGCAATGAGAGATTCGAGACAACTAACACAGGTCCAAATATATACTTGCTTCCTTTTTGGTCCTCGTTGGAAGATCCCGGTCCACAGCCAGTCCGTGCCACCAGGGTCGTCGACACCTAGGGGTCTTGCGTTCTCCGGAGGACAATGGCGGTGCTCTAAAAGACTACACGATACAGCATAATGGGTGATGCTGTCGCCGAGTGGACTTTCAAGCGAGAAGTCGACGACGTCCAGAACAGTCTCATTGATAGGTATCGTATCACTGCCATGGCCGCCTTCCCGATATATGGCACCTTGACATAAGATCGAGATATGGTCTTCTTGATCATGACCTGAGGCAGAAGAGGGCACGGGCCCTTCCCCAACAACAGGCGAGCCGTTACTGATCACGATTGGGAGGGTCAGTCATCAGACGCCTGGCAAGGGTTCGCAAGCAATCTTACGCTGCTATCAGAGAGCTCTGAGCGCTCTTGACGTTCTGCATCTTTGACCTGTCGACTGACGGCTCGCTTGCTACGTCTTGAACGGGTACAGAGAGCTTTCAGTCGCAGACATTCATCAAAGAACGATATCGGAGTATTCGGAGGTAAATAGTTGTGCGAAACGAAAATTACCTTGCATGGGCCTATGGCATGGCTTGAAACTTGCATGTTGAAGCCCCAACGTCCCAAGTGGGGGACTCAACGCATCCTTATAGACAAGCTGTGGCAGAGAGTCGCACAGCGCAAGCCCTTCAGGTCCAAGGAGGTTTAAATTGGAGCAAACAGAAAACTTGTATCGGTAAATGGACTTTTGCACAGAACATTGCTGTTTGATGCGCCGGCCAATTCGTAAAAGAAAGTTCCCTGTGTATACGGTACCTATGATAAAGTTCATGCTTGCTAGGGCCCTCCAGCTCTTGTAGCATGGACTGGCCCCTTTTCTTCCTTCAATAATGCTAGACGGGATTAGCTTATCATGATATCCAGCTAAGCAAGCCTTAGCGTACTCAAGAAAGGTCACCGAGTGTTCATGGCAGCTGGCACGGGACGTCAAATAGAGGATGAAGCAAGGAAGCTATCGTGTACAGCAGAATCTGGCGATTTGATTATTCGGGCTATCCTAGGGGCACAACAAGTTGAGGAATGATTCCCAAATGGCAATAGTCTCGCTGTTCGTGTTGAGAATCCCCCTCATCTAACAACAACATTCAATAGGGCAAGGCCTAAATCTTACGATCATCTTGATGGGGAATCCTGGGCAGAGGCCTACGTGCTAGCAGCCATCGTTCTCAGGGGGTGATTTGATTCAAATTGGCGAGATGGAACCCTGCCACAACGCTGCGCAGCCTAAATCTACCTACTACTGACGCCTGAACGACCATGCAAAGTCAGCTTGAACGCCATCTCACCAGCCATCCGACGGCGTCGCAAGGTACGTACGGAGGACACATCAAATTGCGCATCTTCTCGGTCCGAATGGCGCTAGACCTCTGAGCAAAAGTCCTCAAAGGGGGAAAGTCAGAGAAAAGCGGGAGATGGATGTATTAGGATCATCCGGCATTTGATGGAATGTCTACTTCAGAAGACTAGTCCTGGTAGGACTTCTTTGCTACCCAAGATTGAGCCTGGTAGGCATTGGCTGTGAGTGCCTTGACGTCAAACCCATACAATGCTTTCTTGCCCCTGACCTTCTCCCCTTGGAGTGTTATTTCTCCACAAACCTCGCTGCATTCTAGAAACTCAAATCCCGAACTCTTCGTGACTTCAACGATTTCGTTGAGCGATAGTTGAACAAACGGACCAGTGCCCCATAGCAAGGGCCCATGATTGATCCAGTATCCACCAGGTCTCAGTAGCATGTGAATTGTTTCCAAGTAGGCCATAAAGTTTCTTGCTGTATCGATAAAGAAGTGTGTAACGATCGCATCGTAGTGTCCGTACTGTGTCGTAAAGCTGGTGGTGAAGTCACCTTCGACAAGTAAGACTGCGCTAGCATTCACCCGTCGGTCTGGAAATAAGATGGATCGCATCATGTCATCAGTTGTTGCATGATGCGACCAGCTGTCAATAAACGGGTGTAACGAGGTCGACTCCACTTCGGGATGAGCCTCCAAAAACCGGGTGACGACATTCATGAAGGAGGACCACTCGTTGCTTGTCACTTCAAAGCCTCCCAAACCGGCAATTTCGTGGGCAAGACGGCCCAAACCTGAACCGGGAAGCAAGGCCCGAACATTTGAACGGTTGCCGTCGGGGAAGAGGGATTGAAGCGTGCTGATGAGGCAGGGAAATGCATCGTCCCGCTCTCCATGCCCAGGGAGGGACCAGTCCCGCACGAAGTGTTTGAGGGCCTGGGAAACGCTGGTCTTGTCGGCGAGTTGGCCGGCCTCATCTTTTGCCTTGCTATGCCGTGCAAGGTCATCGTGCGAGAGTCCGTAATAGCTGAGTGCGGTCTCCACGATTTCATCGCACAGTGCTTGGTTAACATCAAGGAGCTGCTCTATCCTATGGAACTTATTCGAGTAGCCAACTGTTGTCTCCAAAACCTAGGGACAAATCAGAAAGTGACAACATCAAGGTCTCCTGACGGACACACTCACCTTCTTCTGGGCTTTCGTGACGTGCTTGTACAGTCCCTTCAAGCGATCGACTTCCGCCATTTGCCTAGACTTGTACCTTGAGAAGCCAAACAGAGCCTCGAGTAACCGATGACGGGGGTGATTGGTGTCCCACTTGCCATGGTGTTTGCTCAAACGCTTTAATAAGTGCTTTTTCTCCTGGATATGCCGTGGACTCATCTCATCCGAGGCATTACCAACGGTTACCGTCACTTGATGTATTAGCTCAACAAACGGAGCGCCTTGCATCTACATCATATGATCATTAGCGTTCATGGAAGATGAGCCTATCACTACCCGTCCGTTGTGATCTTCAGTTGGACAAAGAGCCCTGCTGGGACTTGGGCCAACGGCAAGCAACATCACACGGCTGCGGCACGGGTTTCCACTCACAGTC